GAGAGAGAGAGACAGAGAGAGAAAGTGAAAAATCATCTCCCTCCAGCCCCTGGGGAATGGTCATGCCACAATCCTTTCTTTTCCATTTCTCACTCCTTTCAGGATTTTAAGAATTCATGTATGCATGCCTGGCATGTTTCTCAAGCTGTTGGACCCAGGATTCAAACCGTGTAGTTGACCAAGTGGAATATGGCTTCTTTAATCACTGTGCCATGGTTGATCTTCTTTATTTTTATTTCATTGTTTTTTTAGGTCTTTAGGAAAGTCATGACATATCTCTCTATGCAAAAATGCATCCTAACTTTCGTAGCAACCAATATATTATTATCCTTCATAGCTAATGTTTTTTATCTAATGAAATTGAACAGTGAAGTAATGGATAATTGAATACAGAAAAAAAGAGAAATTAAAAGCCTAAAGTGACCACGTGCATGCATGCTCAAATCCTGAGAGGAGAATGGAGCAGAAGGGATTGTGGCATAGCCATCCCCCTGGAGGGTAATTTCTCATTTTTCTCCCTCTCTCTCCCTCTCCCCATCTCTTTCCAGTGAGTGTACATACCTCATAGCAAAACTAAAACAAACAAAACAAAACAAAAATAAAACCTGTAAACCTTAAGTAAATGAATCTCACATTAAAAATGATATTATTTTTATTTATTTTGCTTAGGACTTGGTATCCTTCAATATGAAGATTCTTTCTTCAATTCTGGAAACTTCTCATTCTCCCTTTGAATATTACCCCTCTCTCATTCTTTTTAGTCTCTCTTCAGGAATTCCTATTAGAGGTATGTTGGACTTCTCTTCTTGATCTTACTTAATCAGTTCTTATTTATTTTTCACCAGAGCAACAGTCTGGGTAATTTCCTAAGAATGATCTTCAGTTTCACTAATTTTCTCTTCTGCTATGGTGAAATCTGCTGTTTAATATACCCATGTAGTCTTTAATTTCTATGCTTTTATTTTCCATTTCTAGATGCAGTTTTCTATTTTTCACATGCAATTGTTTCCCCTCACAATATTCCATTTTTATAGTATTTACTATTCATTTTTTTATTTAATAATTTTAACTATGCTTATTATAAATTATTATTCTTCAGGATATTTTTATTTCTAGTTTTTATACTATTAATTTTTGCTAGTTCTATTGTGGGTAGTTCATTTTTTTTGTGTGTTTTGTGTATTTTATTATGTAAACTGATTTTCATTATTAAAAAAAAATGAACATTACATGAATCCTGGACAGAAGAGAGCTTCTGTACAGGTTTTGCATTTCTTCTGGAATCATAGGAAGTTAATGTTCCAGGACTGATATTTTAATGTTAAATTCAGGGAACGTTAAATGTGCCACCTACATTGTGCAGTGTAAATTCAGATCCCATACCTTTTAGGTGTAGGCCTAGGTATTTGATTTTTATCTTGAGACTCAGACAGAAGGGAAGTGTGATCTTGGCATAGTAAGACATTTTCCAGTCCTCTCTTTACAGAAGTTGTAACCCTTTTAGGGGACCAGCAGTTAGCGTAATGGCTATATTGCTGGACTCTCACGTAGTTGACCGCGGTTCGCGTCCCAGACCCGGTGGCTTAAAACTCATGCCGGGCGCGTGTGCGTGTGTGCCCAAGATCCTGAGAGGAGAATGAAGGAGAAGGGATTGCGGCCTGGCCATCCCCTCTGGGGGGTGATTTCTCGCTTTCTGTCTCTCTGTCTCTCTCTGTCTGGCGAGCACACGCGCCCTATAGCACAAAGAAAAAACCTCTCCAAAAAAAAATAGAAGTTGTAACCCTTCTAGACTCCAGGCTTTGTGTGGAGAGCTTAATTCAGCTCCTTCCTTCACACAGGTCTGAAACGACATCTCCTATCCTTGAGAAACATTAAAAGTGCAGACCCAGCTTAAGGGCCAGTGTCCCAGATGAAACTGTCTAGGATTTCTAGGACATCTGCTCTCAATTACCATCCTGGGTCTGGCTTCTCCTTTTGTTTCTGGCTTCCAAGGATATCCCTTTATTTCTTTAAAGTTAAAACATATGTTAAAACATTTATCTTTGTTACATTTTCATCCAGGATGTGTGTGTGTGTGTTTGTATCTGTGTATGGGGAGAGTACTTCAGCTTGCCATATTCCAGAAGCTTTGCCATATTCTTCTAACCCAATTTTCATGTTTGGAAATCTCTAATGTAATTTGTCAAGCTTCTTGGACTCTGAATACTTGGAACTCAGGACATCAGCAAATCAGTCATGAGGCAATAGGCACAGAGGTAAAAGACCTCAGTCTCAGTCTTGCTTTACCATTTTCTAACTGAATCTTTATGAATTTTTTTTTTATTTATGCATGTGAGCTGAAAACCATCTACATCATAGAGTTGTTATGAAGAGTAAATTAAATAGGACATTTAGAAATGCATTGTAAAATTTAAGAGTTCTACCAAAATTCGGGACCATACATTCAGAAGCTTTGCCATATTCTTCTAACCCAATTTTCATGTTTGGAAATCTCTAATGTAATTTGTCAAGCTTCTTGGACTCTGAATACTTGGAACTCAGGACATCAGCAAATCAGTCATGAGGCAATAGGCACAGAGGTAAAAGACCTCAGTCTCAGTCTTGCTTTACCATTTTCTAACTGAATCTTTATGAATTTTTTTTTTATTTATGCATGTGAGCTGAAAACCATCTACATCATAGAGTTGTTATGAAGAGTAAATTAAATAGGACATTTAGAAATGCATTGTAAAATTTAAGAGTTCTACCAAAATTCGGGACCATATTTTACACACACACACACACACACACACATACACACACACACACCCCAACACTTTTAAAAAATCTTAGCTGAATTTAATTATAGATTTTAACAGCATACTGTTTTGAGGCTGGAAACTTTCATGGTGCTGGAGAGAATCCGTGTATTAGGCCCGAGAGATGGGGGTTTCTTAAGTGTGGTGGGAAGCACTCTGGACCAGATGTCAGGGCAGCAATCTAGTTCCAGTTCTGCCCTAATTGGTGGTGTGGCCGTAGGCTGTTCATATAACTGCTAGTTGTCTCAGCACTAGTTTTCAGACTGTGTTTTTCTGAGCTTTGCGGACAAATGGAGAGTGATTGACCACAGCACGTCCATTGCAGTCCCTCCGTGAGTCCTACTTAAATTAGAGGAGCTCTTCTTATATCCTGCTCTACCATTCTTGACCTCTGACTTCACCTGGCTGTGCTTCAGTTTCTTCTGAAACACATTTTTCCCCTTCTGTAAAAAGGGGATATGAACAGTCCCTGCCTTATGGGGCAATTGTGTGGATTAAATGAGATGACAGTGTCTGATGCATCATAAGCCTCCCAAAAGGATTAGAAGTTATTAACTTTTGAGATTTTAAGTTAATTTTGTTTTAAAAATGGATTCTGAAGAAGAAACAAACAAAACACTCTCTAGTACTGAGAACAGTCTGAAAATTGTTCAGATAGATACTAAACTGTATCTGAACTTGTAGTTTATAACACACTTCTAGTTTTCAAATTCCTTCCTTCCTTAACAAATCTCTAGTGAGAAAATTAGTCTTAACAATAACAATAGCATGAGTATAAAGGGCTCTATTGTTTGTAATAATTTCTTCCAGCCCCTGACCCTCCTTCTACCCACTTCCCATTCCTTAGGAATTCTATTTTTTGCTTAATATTACATAATGCTTTTCTGCCATGTCATGAAATTGAATGTCAACAATTGCGAAATATTTTTTTCTGACCATAGTGAAATTTTTTTCATTGTTTCCCTTGATTGTGTCACCTATCCCTAACTTTTTTCTGAAATAACCTAAGGACAAAGAACCTTTTTTAAATGGTTCCTTTCTAACTTAGATTTAGGGCAACCAATTCTTATTTCTCCCATTATAAATAGGTACCACATAGTCTCAAAGAATGGAAGTGAGAGAAGGTACCCGTTTCTCTTGGAAGTTAGAATTTTAACAGGAGGGGTGTTTTCATCCCCACTTTGACCTGCTCATCAACCACAAAGTGCAGTTCTCCATGCATGAGGTGCTAATAGCTATTCTTCTTTGGCAGTGTAAGTGCAGTTTGCAACAGTGAAATGAGGAATTCAAGTTTAGCTGTTGAAATGAGTTGATAGCTGGGTCAATATGTGGCATGGTGGTAAAGGCGCTGGACGTCCACGTGGCTAACTGTGGTTCAAGTCCTGGACTCAGTGGCTTAAAACTCATGTTGGGAGCATATGTGTGTGTGCCCAAGATCCTGGGAGGAGAATGGAAGAGATGGGACTGCGGCATGGCCTTCCCCCTGGGGAGTGATTTCTCTCTCTCTGTGTCTTCTGCTGGTGCACATATCCTACAGCAAACAAAACAAAACAAAACAAAACAAAAAACAAAACATGGAAGTGAGAGAAGGTACCCGTTTCTCTTGGAAGTTAGAATTTTAACAGGAGGGGTGTTTTCATCCCCACTTTGACCTGCTCATCAACCACAAAGTGCAGTTCTCCATGCATGAGGTGCTAATAGCTATTCTTCTTTGGCAGTGTAAGTGCAGTTTGCAACAGTGAAATGAGGAATTCAAGTTTAGCTGTTGAAATGAGTTGATAGCTGGGTCAATATGTGGCATGGTGGTAAAGGCGCTGGACGTCCACGTGGCTAACTGTGGTTCAAGTCCTGGACTCAGTGGCTTAAAACTCATGTTGGGAGCATATGTGTGTGTGCCCAAGATCCTGGGAGGAGAATGGAAGAGATGGGACTGCGGCATGGCCTTCCCCCTGGGGAGTGATTTCTCTCTCTCTGTGTCTTCTGCTGGTGCACATATCCTACAGCAAACAAAACAAAACAAAACAAAACAAAAAACAAAACAAACAAACAAACAAAAAACCTCTCTTAAAAATAAAGAAAAAGAAAAAAGAAGAAATGAGTTGATGGCTTTTCTTGTATCCTTTGATGCACCCTGATGTGGAGAGAGAAGCTTGAGTCTGGAACCCTGGACTGATCTGTCTCTATGTTTTTATCCCAATGCAGGAGCAAGCACTCTGCCTTTTTCAGTGAGGAGGAAAGATGCTCTCTTTGGGTCCTGGGAAATGACCGGAAGACTGAGTGTGCCAACTTCCTCCACATGCTCGCTCACACTGATATCACCTCTGTCTACCGGCTTAGTGAGTGTTTGATCCTCACACCCTCCTGAAAGATTAGGCTCCTCAAGATTAAGAGAGTGGTGCTCAAAAAGAGTAGAATAGCTTTAAATTCTAATCCCATCCATGAATTTGAGGCTATGATCACTGTTCAGTTGATGACTGGGATCGTATTTGCTTAGTAGTAATTGTATTTTCTCTGAAGCAAAATCTCCAGATTTCATATAAGTCTGGAGTTGCATGGGGCATGTTGCCTGAAAACTGTGAGGTATGATGAAAGCAACTCACTGACAGCATGAGTGGTCAGCTATATTTGGCCTTCCAGTCTAATTTTGGGGAGAAGAATTTTGTGAGTAGTGGCTGAGGTCTTAACTTCTAGGACTGAAGAAAGTTCCCCGAAGACAAAGCTGGAGATGCAGAGTGGATATAGAGTGTTATAGCAGTTTGAGAAACTGAGACCCATGTGAATTAGTGCCTGAGCCAGGACAAGCACTGCATCTTGTAATTGCCAGAGAGAGCAATCTCCTTTTACCACTATATCTTTGACACAAAATAATTTTAGGCTGTTGGGTGTGCTATCCATGGGGAAGAAGCTTCAATGTCTATAAGGATTTTTTAGCGGTGTCTGAGTGAATGAATGAGAGAAATGAGTGATACTCACTTCCCTTATCTTGGGAAAGGCCTGTTGTTCTGTGTCAGGAAGTACACTAGCTCACTGACAGTGGTTTGAGGAGGGAGTCTTGTTTTTCCCATCTCTTCAATGTTGATGATGTGTCTATTCCTGTGTGGCCAGATTAGAAAGGTTTCATGGTACAGCCAAAGACTCTGTCCCCATAGGCCAGCTCCCAGGAGCAGAGGCTGAAATTGGCAACTTTTTCTATGCACAAGGAGTGTTAGTGAGCACCACCTACCCCGAGCTCAGCACCTACCCTGAGATCAGCACCCAGTCCTAATAGAGCTTTCTGGCCACAAGCAGATCACTGCTCCATAAGGCCAAGCCAAGAAACTGAAGCCATAGGCATTGCCCAGGAGGTGGGAGCTGAGATATGAAACTCAAGGAGTGCTTAGGGTATCCCCTGGTGGCAGACTTTTGATCCCTTGGTTGGGAGATTCAAGATCAGTCCCTGGGCAGCATGCAGCCTCTTACTTACAGACCAGGGGTGCGACTCTGCTGGGTGAGGCTGTGCCTTCTGGGTTGCAGGCTGCCTCAGCATCAAAGTCTCCCGAAGGGCTCTATTTTGTAACTCACGTATCATTTGTGCCCTTGGTGTTGTGGTTTAGAAAGAAATGGCTGCAGTAAGACTGGTGCAAGCCCCTCAGTGTCAGAGAAGTCCAGGGCTTGTGAACAGCTTTCCAGAGCCACACTCTCCGGCTATCCCATCTTTGACTATGGGACCTTCTACCCTTCAGGGGTTGCACGCTTTGAGTTTCTGTAATGACAGCCACAGATAAAGCCTTCACAGAGAGGAGTGAGAAAAAACTTGACTTGGCTTGTGAGTCCTCATGATTCACATCATTCAATGGAGACCCCAAAGTAAAGGCACAAACATCTGTTGCATTTCTGCCAGGAAGAAGTAACTTCATCTCTCTAGCAACCCTTGTCTTGTGGAGTGTGAATATGGCCTTCCCCTCTATGGATGGCAAGAGCACTCACTTCTTCTTTGCCAAACCCAATGTGTCCTCTTGGTTCCCACCTAGCCTTGTTTAACTTTTGTGTTATTCAGTGGCTGTGTAGTAAGTCACCTGGGCCTGTGTTGCTTCCTTTTCTCTCTGACTGTGCCTTTTCAGCCTCTTTAACTGGCTACTGTCTGCCGGTAAATGCTCATGTTCTTCACGCTTCTTGATGAAGTCTTCCTCTCTCTTGCTCCCCTACTGCTTTCCTTTTCTTCCAGATGCCTCACCTGTGTGATCACATTCAGCTTTGGGCTTTGGCCAGCTCCTTGTGACCTGCGAGTCACAAATCTGTGTTTGCAAAGTAGACTACAGCCTACTTAATTCTTTGCCTAGAGCTGCTGCAAGTATCTCAAACTCAAAATGTCTAAAACTATACTCAGAAATGTCTAAAACTATACTCCCTCCCTCCACCTTATCTCACCGAGTTACTCCAGGGAACAAAGCTGGGGGCCTCAAATACATCTTTGCTCTTTTTCTTCACCATTCATTTTGGCCTCTCAGTCTGACCATTCTGACAAAGCAGTGTTTGGCACACTGTATGCAGTCAGCCAATGTCTGTCAAGTGGGTAGATGGCCGATTAATAGAGGAAGGATGTGATACATATGGAATGGGAGGCAGCACCATGCCAAGCACCCTCTACTTGGAGCGCTGTCCTGTCTCTATTGCTGAGACATTTGGGCACCACAATGCTCTGGCCTGCAGATTTTATCATCCCCTCATACTCACACCTCTTGGTGTAGCACTTATGTTTCTAGTTTTAATTCCCTGACTCTGGGTCCCCCTTTGACCTCAGGTTCCAGCTGTAAAGCACATGGGTTATACAGGATGGTTTGGTCCATGCAGCTCTTAACACTGATGACAAAGGGGAGAACTCCGTCCTGTTCCTTCATGACGATCAATGATCTGAAATGTCAACACCAAGTCTCCTAGGGGCCTTAGAGGTATAGGTATGGTGGCCCATTCTGATCTAACACCAAGTCTCTCCTTGATCTCTACCCAGGTGGGTTTGAATCCATCCAGAATCTTCCAAATGACCTGAGTGGTGAGTAGAGATCATGCTGAAAATGAGCTCCAGAGCCTGGGCCTGCATGAGGAGGTCTGCCATTTGCTGAGCACCTTCTTGCAGGAGCTGGCTACCTTAGTTGCAGGTGCTCAGGGTTGCCCAAATCTGCCTGTCCTTACAGCATCCCAGCCTGAAGGCTTCAAGGAAGCCAGGCCTGGAGGAGCCTGGGAAGAGCATCGGGCCATGGGCTCCAGACAGTCCAGCAGCTCTGAGGACTCCAGCCTGGAGGAGGAGCTCCTCTCGGCCGCCTCAGACAGCTATCATCTGCCAGAGCCTGATGACCTCGATGACCCAGAACTGTTTATGGACCTAAACACTGGCCAGGAGGAAGAGGAAGCTGAGAACTTTGTCCCCATATTGGTTTTTCTGGATCATGAGGGTTATGCAGACCATTTTAAAAGCCTCTATGACTTCTCTTTCTCTTTCCTCACCTCTTCCTTCTACAGCTTCTCTGAGGAGGATGAGCTTGTGGCCTATTTGGAGGCTTCAAGGAAGTGGGCCAAGAGGAGCTGCATGACCTGGGCCCATGCCCGGCTCTGCTTCCTCCTGGGCAGGCTGAGCATCCGGAAGGTCAAGCTCTCTCAGGCCAGGGTGTACTTTGAGGAGGCCATCCACATTCTCAATGGGGCTTTTGAGGACCTCTCCTTGGTGGCTGCTCTGTACATCAATTTGGCTGCCATCTACCTGAGGCAGAGGCTGAGGCATAAAGGCTCAACTCTGTTGGAAAAGGCAGGTACCCTGCTGGCCTGCCTGCCTGACCACGAGTTTAGTGCCAAGATTGAGCTCGATGTGGTGGCCTATGTGCTGCGCCAGGGGATTGTGGTGGGCAGCAGTCCCTTGGAGGCTAGGGCCTGCTTCCTAGCCATACGATTGCTCCTGATCCTGGGTCGGCATGAGGAAGTCCTGCCCTTTGCTGAGCGCCTGCAGCTCCTCTCTGGACACTCTCCAGCCTCAGACACTGCCTCCAGCATCTTGAGTTTTCTGTATGACAAGAAATATCTTCCCCATCTTGCAGTGGCCTCTGTCCGGCAATGTGGTGCCCAAAGTGTCCAAGGGGCATCTCTTCCTATCTGGCAGGTCCATTTGGTCCTCCAGAATGCCAATAAACTCCTTGGAATTCCCTCCCCAAGTTGGGGTGAAGTATCTGTCCTGGCCTGCCCAACACTCAGGCAGGCAGTGGCTACCTGTGAGGAACAGGCAGACCAGAGGACCCAGAGGGCCCTGTGTCTCATTCTGTCCAAAGTGTACCTCCAACACAGGTCTCCTGATGGTGCCATCCACTACCTGAGCCAAGCTTTTCTGCTAGGACAGCTGCTGAGTGAGCAGGAAGCCTTTGAGTCCTCCCTCTGCCTGGCATGGGCCTATCTCTTAGCCAGCCAGGCGAAGAAAGCTTTGGATATCCTCGAGCCACTGGTATGCTCCCTGAAGGAGACAGAGAATATTACCCAAAGGGGAGTGGTCCATAACCTCTTGGGACTTGCACTTCAAGGTGAAGGCCGGATAAACAGGGCAGCCAAGAGCTATCTCCGGGCCTTGAACAGAGCCCAGGAGACAGGGAATGTGCGTAACCAGGCAGTGACTATGGCCAATCTTGGCCACCTGACTCTTAAGTCCTGGACTCAACAGCCAGCCAGGGACTATCTCCTGCAGTCTGTGCGGCTCTATTCTGAACTCCAGGCCAGCAAAGAGACAGACATGGAATTAGTACAGGTGCTTCTCTGGTTGGCCCAAGTTCTGGTGTCTGGAAGCCAGCTGACACATGGCCGCCTTTGTTATGAAATGGCATTGCTGTTTGGCTTAAGGCATCAACACCTAAAGAGTGAGTATGTCCCGTGCTGCTGGGAAGCTTGAGAGCAAAGTGTTGGAGTACGTTTTGTCCATGTCCTATCTCAAAGTCATCTCATCCATGTCCCTGCTTTATGTTCAGGTCAGCTTCAGGTCACCAAATCCCTCTGCCATTTCTACAGCTCTGTGTCCCCAAATCCTGAGGCATGCATCACCTACCATGAACACTGGCTGGCCTTGGCTCAGGCACTCAAGGACCGGGAGATGGAGGGGAGGCTGCTGGAGTCCCTTGGGCAGCTCTATCGGAACCTGAACACGGCCAGGTGAGTCAGAACTTAGGGACATCTTCCCTTCCTTAAGGAGAAACTATGTTCCTTCATTCAGAAAGCCAAATCCAAATGCCATGTTGTACAGGTCTGCCTCGTGGGCTCTGCAGCTACCGTATGATACCATCCATTGCTTACTGGGCGTGTGGCCTTGGGCAAGTAATATTTCTCTGTGCCTCAGTTTTCTCAGCAGTCGAAGGAGGATCTATAGTGTTCCTGTGAGAAATAAATGAGTCTGTGGAACCCTTGGAATGGTGATGTGTAGTAAGGGCTTGGTTATGTTAACTATGTTCCTGTTGCTTGTGTGTTTCCACAGCAACCCACCTTGTGACCTCAGCTGAGGGTGTATAATTCTGAGGCGTGACAGTTATACCTAGGACTGTGGAACATTTAGTAGGTCTTCATTACCTGAGGACAATTGGTATTAGAGAAAGGATACTTCAACACTTAGAGAGTAAATAAATCCATTGAAAGCAGGTGTGCAAAATTTAATAGTTAAATCTTTTTTTTAAATGAAACTGGAAATTATGAAATGAAATTGACTTTCACCTTTTAGTTAAGAATTCTTCGATTATAATTGCAGCTGTGCACCAAGTCTTAGAATAAACTCACAATAAAAGAGGGGTTGAGATTTTTGGCTTCATTGTGTTGACAAAATTGGATAATAGCACAAACAGACATCCTTTGTTTTATGATTGACTTTTCAGCGTTATCTTTAAAAAGATTCATTTTTGCAAAAATACACCCAAACTTAGCCATTTAACCCAAAGGCCTCTTTTAACTCTTTGCTATTCAAATTATCCTCACTTGAGGTATCTTGGTACCTCCTGTTGGTCTTCCCTTCTTTGTCCTTCCACTTGTCTCACACTGCTTGATCCTCATTGGCTACTGGCCAGACTGCAGTTCTGCTCTCTAATATGCCTTAAATTGATTCCATTAAATCCCTCAGGGTTTACAAGATTTTTCAGTTTCACTTTTCCACAGATTTGCATTGGAGCATTGTATTCATAATTATGAATGACTTCTAAAATAGAGCAGGGATAATTGCTAAAGTTGAGTGGAAGGAGGTATTTGAAGAGAGGCTAATTAAATGACAATTTTTGCTTTTCTAGGCAACACAGGGTAACCTTGGGCACCTGGATAATCAGATAACGTATAATCAGATAATACAAGGAATTTTTTCTCTCTCTTTCTTTTCCCGTTCTATCTCCCTCTCGCTGACCTCTTCCTTCTCTTACAAAAATCATATATCCTTCAGATTTCTCATTGTCTTTGTGCTCAGTCTCAGGAAGGGGGTTTTGGTTTCACATAGCACTTGAGGGCCTAGGTGACCTGGTCCACTCTGCCACTTCCATTCCAGGACATCTTAGGAGTTTGAATGCTTCTGGAGCAGATCCACAGGCAGACTGGAGTTAACTTTAAAATGAAACAGTCATATGCTCATGGTGAGGCATCTTGGGACTGGGCTTTGGGAAAGCTGAATTTTTAAGGAACCAGAGTAAGAATGCCAGATGCATATTAGGCTCCTTTTTGTCTCCCATTGCTGTGTAAGCTCAGTCTCAGATTAACCACTGCTCCCAGCCATAACATACCCCACTGCCATCCTTTGCTCATCAGCTCCCTACCCCCAGTTGTCGAAATATCACTGAAATCCTAAAGGGGAAAACTTTATCATACTATGAGAACTCTTCCATTTTGTCACATTGTGGTTAAGTGTTGAGGAATTTAATGGTTAGAAGAAAAATTTCAAAGTAATTGCTCCCAAATGGAGTAATATACCCTATGTGGAAGTGAGTGTGTGTTTCATCACTACAATATATTCAAATAGAAGTGGCTGTTCAGGAATCTTATAAAAGAATTTCTGTAACCCAAGTGGGGTCTCAATCTTAACAACAGTTTTATTGAGATATAATGACATACCATAAAATTCAACCTTTAAGGTGTGCAATTTAGTTTTCTTTTATCTTTTTTTTTTTTTTTTAGAAGTTTTTGCTATAGGGCATGAGCACTTGCCAGAAAGACAGACAGAGAGACAGAAAGTGAGAAATCACCCCCCAGGGGGCATGGCCACACCACAATCCCTTCTCCTCCATTCTTTTTGGATCTTGGGCACGCATGCACACGCACTCGGCGTGAGTTTAAGTCACCAGGTCTGGGACTAAAACCGTGGTCAACTACATGGGAGTCCAGTGACATAGCCATTACGCCAACTGCTGGTCCTGCAAATTAGATTTTAGTGCATTCACAGCACTGTGTAACCATCACAGCTATCTAATTTTCAAACATTTTCATGGCCCCCTAAAGCAACCATGAGCAGTGACTCCCCATTACTCATTCCCACCCCAACCCAACCAGGAAACCACTAATCTACTTTCTGTTTATATGAATTTGCCTATTTTGGATGTTTGATATATATCATATAATATGTGGCTGTTGTGACTAGCATCTTTCACTCAGCATGAGTTTTTATTTTTTATTTATTTATTTATTGTTTGTTTGTTTGTTTTTAGAGGTTTTTGCTATTGGGTGTTTGTGTTCTCCAGAGAGACAGAGAGACAGAAAGCAAGAAATCACCCCCTAGGGGGATGGCCACGCGACAATCCCTTCTCTTCCAGTCTCCTCTCAGGATTTTGGGCATGCCCGGCTCACTCAGTATGACTTTTTAAGTTCATTCATGCTGTCACATATATTAGCAATTCATCACATCTTTTATCAAATTGTGTTCTTTTAATGAACATACAACATCTGTTTATTCATTCATAAGTAGATTGACATTGCTTGTGTGAACATTTGTGAACATATTTTTGTGTGAATATGTGTTTTCATTTTTCTTGGGTCTATATTTAAGGAGCAGAATTGCAGTCACATAGTAATTCTATGCTTAAAGTTTTGGAAACTGCCAGACTGTTTTACAGAGTGACTGCACTCTTTATATTTCTATCAGCTATATGTGAGGGCTCCTGTCTCTCCATATCAGCACAAACACTTGTCATTGTCTGTTTTTTTTTTTTTTAATCATCCCTTAGTGGATGCAACATGGTATTTTGCTGTAATTTTGATTTGCATTTATCTAAAGACTAAAGATGTTAAGAGCTGTTTCATGTACCTACTGGCCTTTTGTATATCTTCTTTGAAAATATAAGTCACTTGCACATTTTAAAATTGGATTGTATGTCTTTTGATGGTTGAGTTGTAAGTATATGACTTTCAAATATTTTTCCCCATTCCATAGATTATCTTTTTTACTTCTTGTTCACTTATAGATACATTGAAAAATGTTCTCTCCTCCTCTAATTTTTGAAAGAGTCTATGATGTTAATATTTCTTTTAACATTTAGTATATTTACTGATGAAGTCATCTGGGTATCTTTCTTTTTTTTTTTTTGTAAAAAGTTTTTTGATAAAGAATTCAATCCCTTTAGTTGTTATAGGTTTCTTTAGATTTTCTATTCCTTCTTGAGCTGTTTATGTCTTTGTACAGAATTTGTCTATTTCATCTTCTTATCTAATTTGTTTGTACTCAGATGTTCATAGTATTCTTTTATAATCCTTTCTATTTCTTTAAGGTAGGTAGTAATCTTCACTTTAATTCCTGAGTCTCTTCTCTCTCTTTTTCTTATTTTCCTTTTTCTTTTTCTTTCTTTCTTTTTGTTTTGTTTTGCTATAGGGTGCATGCCCTCACTGGAGAGAAACCAACAGAGAGACAGGGAATGAGAAATCACCCTCCTCCCCCAAGGGGGATGGCCACACCACAATCCCTTCTCTTCTATTATCCTCTAGGAATTTTGGGCATGCACACACATGCATCTGGCATGATTTTTAAGCCACTGGGTTTGGGACTCAAGCCACATAGTAGGGATTGTGGGATCCCTAACTTCCATGCCATCTGCTGGCCCATCGCATTTGACTTCTTTTTTTTTTTTTTTTTTTTTTTTTTTTTACCATCAGAGAGTAACAACACTTACTAAAGAGAGTTAGAGTGACATTCATCCTCATGATCATGCTGCAATTCCTTCTCCTTTATTTTCCCATTCTGTGAGGATTTGATGCATGGACACACACAGACCTGATGTGTTTTTCAAGCTGCCAGGGCCAGGATTTGAACTGTGGTTTGCTATGTGGGATATGTGCTTCCTTAATCACTAGGCTATGAGGCTAGCTTTCTCTTCCTTTTTCTTGATCAGACTATCATTTTTAAAAATCTTTTAAATGAACCAACTTTTGGATTTATTGATTTTTCTTGATTTTTTTTCCTATTCTCTGCATCATTTCTTTCTTTCTTTCTTTCTTTCTTTCTTTCTTTCTTTCTTTCTTTCTTTCTTTCTTTCTTTCTTTCTTTCTTTCTTTTTTTTTTTGAGAGGTTTTGCTATAGGGTGTGTGTGCTCGCCAGAAAGACAGAGAGACAGAGAGACAGAAAGCGAGAAATCACCCCTCAGGGGGGATGGTCACATGGCAATCCCTTCTCCATTCTCCTCTTGGGATCTTGGGCATGCACACACATGCACCCGGCGTGAGTTTAAGCCACCAGGTCCGGGACTCGAACCATGGTCAGCTACATGGGAGTTCAGCAACTTAGTCATTACAATAACTGCTGGTCCCATGCATCATTTCTTTCTGATATAATCTTTTTTAATTTTAAAAATTATCATGGGGCACGTGCACTCACCAGAGAAGGACAGAGAGAGGGAGAGAGAGAGAAAGAAAACACCCATAAAGGGCATGGTCTGATTTCTAATTTTATTCCATTATAATGAGAAAATATACTTCATATGATTTCCTTCCTTTTAAATTTTTTGAGAGGCCAGCTATGGTGATTCAGTGATAACATGATGTTCTGTGATGGTGAAGTCATATGAGAAGGTCCTAGATTCCTGTCCTGAGGTCTCCCCATCCATGTTGGGTGCACACATACATGCCTGCAATTCAGCCGACTGAGGTCGGGGTGCCTATCTTTCTCTGTCTCTCTCATAGAAGAAAGAAACTTGAAAAAATGAGTT